GGCCAACAGGCAGTATTGTATATAAAACGCAAGCTTTCAGAACTTTGCCCCACCTCTGCAACTGCTGTTCCCACAGTTGTAGGGTGTGAACTGGTCTACCAGAACATCAGCAAGGTCATGGATGGCAGTGTGTGCCTCAACTAGGTCAAATCACAGCAGAGATTTACAAAGCTGGGGGGACAGTGTACAACTCTTTTTTCATTTTTACGACTCTGTTAGGAATCCAGAAATGCAATCAGAGAAATGGACGTTGTATCTTAAGGGGTTAATCGTTCTGTCTGGTCAAGGGAAAAGGATCAGGATCGGTATTGTGACATTGAAGCCACACAGGTGAAAGTGGGATTTGTACATCTGTGCTAAAAAGTGTTTCCTTGGGCTCTTGGAACCCACACAATAGATGGAAATAATGGGATAAAGGAACGAGACAGCAGAAGCATGCTTCTCACAAAAAGGATGAATAAGCAAGAAGGCTCATCTAAGTATCTGGTCTGAAAGAAGAACCCAGACATAAACCCATCTATGGTTCATAAAGTTTCATTAGAATATTTGCAGCAGCACAGTTTTTCTTCTGGAATGTAGGGGTTTAGGGTTAGGGTTAAGGTTCTGCAAGTTGTAGGGTTAGGGTTAGCTGACTCTAGCCCTAAATGGAAGGTGTAGGGTTAGGGTTTAGATTAGTGCCCCCTTCTGGAAATGTAGGGTCAGTGTCGGGGCTAGGGTTAGGGTTAGTATACCTCGTCTGGCGTAGGTATAGGTTCAGGATCAGGGTTAGTGTACCTCTTCTGCATGTTGTAGGGTTAGGGTTAGCTGACCCTAGCCCTAAATGGAGGGTGTAGTGTCAGGGGCAGGGTTAGTATACCTCTTCTGGGACATACTTAGTAGTAGTACCAGTCTACAACTCTTCTGGAAGGTGTAGTGTTAGGGTTAGGGTTAGCATACCTCTTCTGGAAGGTGTTGTTAACAACAGCCTTGAACACCAGTCGGTCGCCCACATTGGAAGGGCCTCTAAACTTGAACATATCGACTGACTTGAGGGTGGGATAACCACACAGGCGGCTGGGAAACAAACAAACAAACAAACAAACAAGAAACAACATCGCATTGAAAGAATCCACATTTTGTATTGAAACTTGAAACTGGAATTATTGGAATGAGGGATAGTGCAAAAAAAAAAGTCCACGAAAAAGTCCGTTTTCATTGTTGATCATCCTTAAACAACATGCACTGTTGAGTAGCTAAATATGAATGGAATTTATTATTTTTTCTTCTGTAGTAGACCTCTGTAGAAGCCTTTCACCACTTATTCCTTTAGTGAAAGACAAAAGGGGATTTTTATGGCACAAGATGATGTAAAGATTCATAAAAGTAAAGTTTCAGGCAATGAATATCATATAAAATCATTCATTTTTTGGTTGAGCAAGCTTTTGCTGTATTTGCCAGTATGAAAAGTTGAACCTTTTAAAAATGTTGCCTGTGTGTAGAACAACTCTGAAAGTGATTCCTTGTTTGTTTCTGCTATGGAAAGCTGCATGAACACAACAGTACTGAATGAAAATTAGCCACCATTTCCCTCCACACTCTCCCTCCTGCCCCCAACCCCCAGCTTTTTGCTCACGAAATACAAACAGAGGAGGAGAGGAACAGTGCTGTTCTGGCATATTTTCTTTTGCTTTGTTTATTAGGAATCAGACGTATCCTGAAGACTAATGGCAACATCCTAACTGCAGCAGTCATGTGGACAGGGAGACGGGACCCTGTGCTCCAGTGACACTGTGGTTATAAATAGCTCACTGGGATGACTCAAATACCTTGCTGCGACAGTAGCTGCATTCTCCATCCAGGCCATAATTTGCCCACCAAAAGTGTTGCCATGGTGATTAGCATGTGGTGGCAGGACGAGCTCGATGCTCTCTACTTTAGTGCTCTCTGTTGATTTCAGCGTGCTGTCTTTTCTGTTAGCTGCATCTGTAGTGAAACAAAAGGGAAACGAGGTCTTAATTCCTTTTAAGAGGTTCCTATTTTTGTGAAAATGACTTTACTGCTGATCACCCCTTAGAGCCTATCCTATTTTGTGCTGAGGTAGTAGCAGCAACGTTATTATTTTCTATATGAAGAGCCTGTTTGTACACCTCTGGGGCATTCAACAGAGTTAGGAGGTCAGTGTGTGCCCCATCGCTGTCAGAACAAAAATGAAGCGATGTGTCTGTCAGTCTTCCTAGAGGGACAGATTTCAGGTTATAGCCCTAAACCTTAAGATAACTATCACTGATAGAGCAGTACTTCAAGGCTTCTCAGACAAGTCACTTGTATTACATGAGTTTCAGTCTCAGTCTGGGTTTGTACTAATGTTCATTGTGGTGTTTTCAGTCTAACACCTGGGCGTTAGTCCAATGGATCATTTATCTTATGCAATTTCCTAAGTAAGAAAAAAATAAATATACTCTGCATGGATCCTAAAACGTGGATACTGAAATATTTTACTCATCCCCCTAGGCAACACTTATGACACTTCTTGGATTACTTGATCTGTTTCGGCACTGGTCCTACAATGGGACGAGCATGGCACCTGAGAGATGAGAGTTAGGATTAGGTCTTGTCCAATGACACATTTGAATTTGAAAGCAACACCAAAACGTCTATGTACCGTGTCTTGCCAAAGGCAGCTTCGCATTTTCCAGTGATTTGCCCCATCAGTGTTGACAATGTGCCCAGTCCCATCTGATGAGAAGCAGAACTATACCATAATGCTGCCACCACCCTGTTTGACTGTAGGGATAGTGTGTGCTGAGGGTTTGTGTCAGACGCAATATTTTGCTTTTAGATCAGAAAGTTCCAGTTTTGTCATGTCTAACCACAAAACCTTTTCTGCTTGTTCGCAGTTTTACTTAGGTGATTTGTTAAAGTTTAAGTTTTGAGAGGTTTTTTTTTCATTCCTAAACATTTCTCTTTGTGGCGTGACCTCTGAACTCTGTAACTCTTTCAAAGTCAATGTTGGCCTCATGGTGGCATGAGGTTTAACCAGCCTCCTCCTTGCCTGCTGCTTTGTGTGGAGAATCTGCCTGACCTAAGCGGTATCTTTATCATGACTTTGCCATGCTGAAAGAGGCGCAGTATTAATGGTCTTTAAAATGTTTTTGTTCTTCTGATCTGTGCCTTAACCCAGTACAAATTTATCCCTGAGTTGTTGAGAAGGCTCCTTGTCCTTCTTTGTTGATTCTTTGCTTGAAATT